ACTATTTAAATATAAAAAAAATAGAAAAAGAAATGGTTATTTGATTCGAAATTTGCTAAGACAGCGTACCAACAAAAGAAACGCCCTGTATATAAAAAGTGGAATAAAAGTCTGGAAACGCCTAATTTTCTTGAAAACGGGTTGTTAACAATCTACAAGATTTAGAATTTGAGGGTTAAAGGAAATTATAATTACTATTTTGTTATTGCCCTTTTGAGACCATTTTCCCGATATTATTGGTCACTTTGATTTTTAATTGAAATATAAAATAAAAAAGTCATAGTTGCTCCAATGTGACGTATTATTGAACTCTAATTGCAGAGTACAATGCAAAATTAAATAGTATAGGTACAAGGTGTTGCATTTAAAAAAAACAAAGGGGTTAATATAATCGGAATAGCGGTAAATGTGGCAACAATGCAAATAAAATAGGAATCTTAAACCCCCATATTTTAAACTTTGTAGATTTTTGACAATTCGTCTTCGAGTCGTTTTCAAACTTTTCTTCCATTCTGTATGTCCCAAATGTCGTTGGTCCTAAGATAGTTGTCTCGAGCGATTGTATTCACTTACAGGCGGCTTCGGATTTTACAGCACACCATGTGAATTTTTAATTAATTTGCATGGTTAGTTCTAGGATTTGATGGATGCCGTATTAGCAGTAATTTAATTTCTGCTGACATGGCATCCAAATTACAAAACACCATGAATTACCGTTTCGATAATGGTTGGTGAGGTTTTCAGAGTTTTTCTCACCTGTAAGTCAAATGGCACCATCAGTCATCTTTAAGTCGTCCCGGAGCTCCACACAAGCTCAGCCGGATTCAGGGGTTGAAATTCACTCGTAACGGGGTGAATTAAGGAGGATATTATTATTATATCAATGAAATCAGAGATTTTATTGAGTTTGTACATTATCGTCTTAATATATCATTTTCTCCACTTAAAAACTACATCCACATGGATATTAGCTATTCTATGCACAGACTACAAAACGAAATAGTATGCCATTGCGTTCAACTGAACGAATATACTTCATATCCATTTTACCTTGTAAGAACACTGCACAAATATGAAATCCACCAATCACAATTCATATTTTATTCACCCGACTACTACTATTTTTTAATTTTAAATATGTCAAACTAATTGTCAGTATATTTTTTAGTTATTGAGGTTAAATATACATTAAATTGAGTTATTCTTGTGAAGAATGGATAAATAATAGCATTTTTTATTTCGTCTATATTTACGAGTAATAAAAAATATTATGTGTGACGATAGACCAGTGACTAGGTCATCTGTCTTTCACGCAGAAGTCCCGGGTTCAAATCTAGAATTGGAAAATAATTAAATTAAATCTTTTTAATTTTATTTTATTTTATAAATTAGTAAAAGTCAGAAACTATTTTAAAATTGGTTTTATTTTATTTTCATAACCTAAAATAATTTTAAATTCGAGAGACGCTAAAATGGTGGTTCCAACCTTATCGAGACTGAGGCCCACAAGGGTAAACTCGTAGCGTAACAAAAACGAGAAATGATTTAACTTGGAACGAAAGACCGAAAGCCGATAGTAGTATTAGGACGTTGAATTTTTTGTTTTGTGAAGCATTGGCATTACTTAGGTTCAACCATGTGATGATTTTGACAAGTCTTGATTTTTAAAACCATTCTATATCGCCTTTTGATTAGGGTTTAAAAACTTGTTCGAGCAATTTTTCCAATAATAATTGGCCCCTTTACCTCTTAAGCCTGCTCATGTAAAATATTTGGGTTCCTTATTTCGCGTATTTATATTCAATTAATAAAGGACAGAAGGATGAGTATTGTAACTATGTTAAAAGAAATAAATTGGCTTTCAGTTCAGAATTATGTTCAGTACACGACTGATATTTATTTATAAAATAAAAATGACGTAGTACCATCGCATCAGATCTATTAGAAAAAATTCAATATAATTCGCAATATCACAACTCTAATACAAGAAGCCAATCTGACTTTCATGTGCGGCAAGCCATCACTAAAAGTTCCCAATATATAATTTTTATTGAAGGTTTAAAAAATTTAATAGACTGCCTACAGAAATTAAAAAAAACAACAATAAATGACAACTTTATAATTAAAATTAAAAACACAACAAAATACCTCGGTATCATAATTGATCAAAATTTAAAATGGGTTGATCACATTAAGTCATTAAAATCCCAAGGTAAGAAGATTCATTTTTAAATTTTATGAATTGAGGAAATTGATGACTAGGAGTTTACTAATTATTATTTACAATTCGCTGGTTCAATATGTAAACCAGCATTATATCCTACCTCTCTTTTATATAATAAAAAAGTGCTTTGTATAAGAACATTATATTGTCTGTCTTGCTGTACCTTTATTTATGGAAAGCCATAATTGAAATACACTACAAATTATTTGCAATAAATATCAAAAGAAGCATACATTTTTAAATAATTTTATATTTAAGAGCCATTCATACATCACGGTTGACGTCTTGATACTTGACAGGCACAGCCAAGCATTATTCTGATTTTTGCCAAATAAAATGGCCGGTTTTCTATGGGGTTGCGACAGAGAGCCAGTGAATTTGATGAAGGTGTTTTTGTGGCTAGGGGCGAAATAGTAGTATGCTTAAGTTAGCACCACCATAAAAAAGTAATTTTTAAGAAACTGCTTATATATTTTTCATAAATTGGCAGACTTGGCGACTAATTTCGAATAAAAATAGCATCCAAAATGGCTATAGTTGCAAATATGAAGGTCGCAACCTTTACTATCAACAGCTGTTGTTTGACAGGTCGTTAGAGAATGGTTGCAATTTATGGAATGTAAAGAATGTTAGGAATGTTGACGTTAGAAATAATTGGAATTCCTAAAATTGTCACATAAGAAATGCATAAGCGGATTTTAAGAAAATTGATATTAAAGTGGTTAGAATGAACCGAAAATTCTGAAAATCAATAGGGTTCTAAGTTAGAAGTAATTATTCAAGAAAATTAAAACCGCAAGTCAATCAGAACTTTCGTTCTAGAGTTATTGTGCCGGCATACATACACACAGACGACTAGACGATTTTTTTTGCATTTTCGTCTGCACTAATGCAATACTGAGGCCCCATAGGAAGGCCTAAGTAATGTTAGATTCTCGTTAGTGGGTCGTAGATAAATATACTGCGGATTGTCCGTATCGCACTTATACGATTGAGCACTACGCCTACGGCGTCGTGCTTAAGATTCGTCTTCGTGCGATATGGCCATTATATCCACACTTGTTGCGCAATTTACTATTTACCTCATTTTTCACAATATAATCTTGAGCAAAATTAAACCCTATGTAAAAACAAATCCACTAGAAAGATTATGAAGATCATAAGATAGGCAATATATTACACACGATACGCAATAATATATTTTAAATGAAATGTCATTTTATAGTTTCAGTTTTAAGAACAATTTTGCATCAATAATGAACAATGGGGGGTGTTATGGGGTGACTACTCCCCAAGAATAATATTTACCAAATTTCAGGAACGAAAGCAAATATTTCTTATTCTCTGCCATGCCTGTGAAGTTTTTCAACCCTTAAAAGGTTGAAAACGTAGCTTAGGTCAACCATGGGCCAAGAAAGGTTAGCATTAGCATTGCTACATATTCATAGGGACCTAGATTTAAACATAGGTGCTGTATTATAAAGATTTGCCAAAATAAAAAGAGGCATTTAGTTTCGATTTTATAAATATTTACGTTTTTTTTTTAAGTACTTAAGAATATTAGCGTTGTTTTTTTACATAATAGACATTTATGATTGTTTGATATGTGATTTTTTGTCCAAAGAAGTTTTTTTTAATATTTCTTATTTTATTACTATATTACAGCATGTTTTTTTTTCATTACCTAAAGCTAAAGGGGGTGGGTAGGCTCAGTGGTTATAGTCATGACTTTGAGATCGAAAGGTCTCAGGATCGAATCCCACCGGTGGTGACAGGAATTTTTATTAAAAAAAATAAATAAAATATTAATTCTAATGCATAGGTAGGATTCCCCACTCGACCATTCACTGTTGGGTCCTAATTAACAATGCTCTTCCTGAAATTGCGCTGGGAAAGAGTAACAAAGCCTACACAGAACACACAAGAATAAGAAGAGACAGACACAAATTGAGACTGGCATATTAGGGATATACACCTAGGCCATAAAACGAAAAAAAAAATCTAAAGCAAAACGACTTTACCCCCCCCCCCTCCCAAGAATAAAATTAAGACGCCCCTGGTAATTAACTGTCCTTTTTTATAATCTATATGTAACATTCACTTTCAATAAACTTCTTATCACGATTTCTTGAAATACTCTATTTCTTAAAATAATGTCATCGTAGAAAAATCTTGTATGCAATTCTAGCGAAAAGTTCATTGCCGCTTTAAACTTTCTGTCTCAAGTGGAAAAGTATCACATTCTGCTCTCAATACAAAAATATCTACTTTCTGTTAAATTCAAATTATAACATTAATACTACGTACGTATTTTTGTATTTTGAAAATGCATGGCTTCGTGTATCAATTTACCTATCCATCAAGATTTTTTTTGTCAAAAAATATTAGTCGAGTGTCATACTTACTGTTAGTATCTCCTATATCCTATATCGGATTAATGTCACTCCCTCTTGTCGATGAAGCCAAATCGGGATAAATGATAATATAGCAACCGGGTGAAAAGCCACGTCCATCTATAATTATTATTCTGCTTGTCGGTAATATCCTGAAGGGTAAAAAAATATATAAAATTAGTTATTCCGTTCAGTCACGGGACCAGACAAATTGGTCGGAAGTATATTTCCGTTTAACAAATAAAAAACCGCCAAGTTCAAGGAATTTGAAAGCATTAGACCATCCAATCTCGTAAAACAATAATTATTATCTTCCTTAAATCTTACATCGCAACAACGAAACAAAAATAAATAGTTTTTTCTTTAATTTGTTTCAGGGCGTAATGTGCCTGGTTTGTGGACGACTGTGGACCGCCCTTCAAGTATTATGGAGTACTTTTTATGTAATATGTGGAGCCGCTCAACTGATGGTGGGGGTATTTTTCCTGATTTCGGTACCTGAAATACAACTTTACGGTGTTCTAGTAGACGGAGCATGGGTAAGTCTTAACAATATCGTTATTCACAAAATTAAATTTGTACCACATACATTATTTAAAAAGGCCGTTCCGACTACAAAAAAAGTTACTAGATAAAATAGTTTTTTTTTCACAGTAATTACAATTATTATTATAATATTACAATATTATTACAGTATTACAATACACCCATATTACATTAAATATGAAAATCAGGGCTTTTGATCTAATTACAAAGATATTTTCATAGGACTACATTTTAAATTATAATAATTTTAAGAAATACAAACAAGTGTATTTCTTTAACCTAGGTACAAAATAAACGGAAGCTTCTACGGATAAAATATACAGAGTGTATCAAATTTTACAGACCCACGTGTCGGGTGTCAAGAGATAACAAAACATAAATTCAATTTTTCTCTAAGGTCCAAAATAATTATTTTCATTTTTTTTTATTTAAAAAAAAATATGAAAATTGGAAAAATACGACTATTGCTGTTTATTTATTTAAAATGCATGTTACTTATCATAATATAATTCCTACAATTACTCTTTTCGCTATTTATTTTGTTATTTTGTACTATTTTAATTACTGTTCAGAAAAAAATTGTGAGTAGAGAAGTGGGTAATCATTAATAATAAAAAAAGTTTCCGTAGTTGTTTAAATTATTTGTTAAAAAAAAAAATAAATAAACTAATGAAAAACATTAATGTATTCTAATATTCTTTGTACCTAATGTTATTTTACCTTTATCATCCTATGAAATTGTTTGTAAATGTAGTCACAATATTTTTAATTTTGACAAACCACTATCTGTAAAACGCTTTAAAAATTATTCAATAAGTCATATAAGAAAAAATAAATCTAAAACCACCCACATCCTGTTGGCTTTTGTAGCCAGATTTTTTTGATAAAATTATTTTGTTGTAGGAAAAATATTGTACATCACTTGTGTGAAAATGGTTTTTCACACTCGCCTGATTGTCGCACTCGGTTTATGCTTCGTGCGATAATATTTCCTACTCGTGGAAAAATGTCAGTTTCCACACTCGTAATGTAATATACTATTTCTCTATAGTGTTAAGTTGGGTAATATACAGAGTGTAACAAAAAAGGTGAGTAATAAATGGAACCACATATTTGGGGGTCAAAAATAAATCGATTGAACATAACTTACCTTAATGCAAATATACACACAAAAAAAATCTGATGTGTCCAACACATGACTTTCCTATCTAGTTATTATAGGCTTTTTTCGGTTATTTTGTACAACCTATTGCAGCATCTCTATAAATGTTTAGAGGATAAACTAAATATATACATTGGCCACATACATCTACCTCGAAACATTTTTCTATAGATATTCATTGAAAACGAAAATACTGAAAAATTTAAATTTAGACTTTTCCATTACGGTTCCAAAATCATGTATAAACAAAAATTATAGAGAACGATATCGCAAACAACTTTTATTTCAAAAACTTTCATAAAAATCAGAATTTTGCACATTTTGTCAAATTTCTCGAATACGGACCATTTCAGGAAATTTTTACATAAAACAAAAATTGTAGATAATAATATTAGAAGTAACTTTTATTTGAACAATTTTCTTCTCCAAACATAAATAACAGATATATTCCATAAAATATAAAAACGGCCTCCCATAAAGTACCCCCCCAGATGTTCCGACTTTGTCCAAAATCAAATCATTTCACGTCAGGCCGAAATAAACCTTAAGTTTAAAATTTAATGTTTTTTCCTTTATCCGTTTTTGAGTTTTCTTCAAATTTCGAAATTTACACATTTTCTCAAATATCTCGAATACGGTCCATTTTAGAGAAATTATGTATAGAATAAAAATTATAGAGAATTATATTACAAACAACTTTTATTTGAACAATTTTTATAAAAAAATATTTTTTTTTACATTTTGTCAAATTTCTCGAATACTGACCATTTTAGGAAAATTTTGCATAAAACAAAAATTATAGATAATTATATTAGAAGTAACTTTTATTTGAAGAATTTTCTTCTCCAAACGTAAATAACAGATATATTCCATAAAATATAAAAATGACCACCTATAAAGTACCCCCCCAGATGTTCCGACTCTGCCCAAAATCTAATCAGCTCATTGGACGCTGAAACAAAGCTTAAGTTTAAAATTTGGTGTTATTTTGTGTATCAGTTCATGAGTTATGCGTTATACAGACACACACACACACAGACACACACACAGACAGACAGACAGACAGACATCATCGCGAAAATAGTCAAAACGGATTCAGGGGACCTCAAAACGTAAAAATCCGTCGAAAACTCGAGGTCGAAAAAAATCATGATTCCTATACTTTCCTTATATCTGTATACAGATAGGAAAGTAAAAAGTTACAGCTCTTGGAAAGTACAAAATGAAAATCGATTTTTCCAATATTTCATGAACTGTTTAACATTTTGTAATGAAAATGGACACATGGCTTTCTTATCGAAAGAGCATCTTCATCACATAAAACCTCGAAATCTGTACAGCCCATAAAAACTTTAGGGGTTTTGAACCCCTAAAGCCCCTCAATCTTTTTTGTGCGTTACAATTTAATTAGTATTGTGACACCATTGTTTAATATATTTTTGTAATTTTTTTGCTTCTTAGCACTTTTTTTAAAAGCCAGTTTTTATCGAAATACTTGTAGTTTCTACGGATAAATAACAAAAAGGTGCTTTAACAATTACATACTGTCAATTGAAGCTTTTGATTATTGTGCATTTTAAGAGTGTTAAGAAAAATTAAACTTTCTGTTACAATGGTTTACACGTTTGCAAAAATGGCAGATATGCATTTAATTCTGGGTAAGTTTGGTCGGGCTAAAACAAGGTTTCAGATAATTATCTGTAATTCTGGTAATCACAGATGAATACCAAAGGAATAGTGCAGCAGCTGCAAGGCGTTATGTGGAAAAATATCCCAATCGGAATACACTAGACCACTAGACGGACGATTATTTCTTTCCATTGATTTGTCGTTTATGGGAAACGTGTACTTAGCGACCGCAACTTGTTGGTACTGGTAATAGTGGTAATCCAAAAATGGATATAAACGATGTAGAGATTTTAGAATTAGTCGAAGAAAACCTTGGAATCAGTACAAGAGTAATATGTGCTGAATTAGATATTGGTCACATGATGGTTTGGAGAAGATTAAAGGAACAGCAGCTTCATATCTATCACTTAACAACAACCGTTCAAGAATTACTAGATGAAGATATTCTAAAAGAATGGGATTTTGGTTCTTAATCATATTTTGTTTAACGGTAAAGCTACCTTCGATAGAAATGGCATTACGAATTACCATAACGAACACAAATGGGCCGAAGAAAATACGCAAAAACAGTGACACATCACCAAAGGATTTTTAAAGTCAATGTTTGGGCAGGCATTGTTAATGTTATGTGAGCCATTTCATTATTCAGTCATGCTCTAACCCTCCAAGTCCCTTTCTGTCTTATTTGGCCTTTGAGGCTCAACTTGTCCGATTATTATACATAATTAAACCCCTTAAAACCAAACCTATGTGACGACTATGGTGAGACACTTTCGCGAACATTCCAGAGTCAACGAGATACTATTTCTAGTCTAAATATAACGTGATAATGTTTCTGGTACATTCTGGCAATTTTGGTGGAGGAGCATTCTAGACCACCATTTTGTATATAAATATTGGTGGAGGACCAACAAAAGTTAGTTATTATATGGACAGTGAAGATAAATAGTAATTAGTAGATAGACAGTAGTGAATATAAATAGTGATCAGTTTAAAGACATTCGAAGTATATATAAATTAGAATAGTTGTGTTATAAAATAAATAAGTGTTTAAATAAATTATTAATAAATAAACTGTTGTTTGAAAATAAACAAACATCACATTAATAATAATTTAATAGAACCAGTATTTCTTTCAAATAATTTAAATGGTGCAAATTACTTGCAGTTCTTACATAATGATCTACCAGAGTACTAGAAAGAGGTAAATTTGAGAATAAGGCAAATTATGTGGTATTTACAAGATGGAGCTCCAGCGCATTTTGATAAAAAAGTTAGGGAATATCTTTTCGGTCTGGACGTTGGATTGAAAGGGGCCCTGATTCACCTATATCTTGGCTAGCCAGAAGTCCAGATTTTAACATTATTGACTTTTCAGAAAACGCAGAAAGGTATTGTTTCGCAGCACCTTGCAGCGTGCTGCGGTCGTCATAAGTAAATGTACGAGTAAAAGAAGATATAATTAGGCACTCCAACGACCTGTCAAACAATAGGTGCCAGAGGGAAATTATTGTATATCTAAGGGGGTAGCGACATAATCTTGCAACTTGGACGCAATTATTATTCGAAGTAGTAGTCGCCAAGCCTGCCAATTTATGAAATAATGTATAGGTATAGGTGGGTTTTTTAAATATTATTTTTATTGTGTTTGACATAAAATATTTAAATGTTATCCATTATTCATGATTTTACGTAAAGTAGATAGAATACACCGTATGTCGCCACCCTTAGATATACTAAACCTTCCCACTGGCAATTCATTTGTTTGGAATGCCTAATAGTCCAGAAATGTCTGGAAATGTCATTACTTGTCAAGCAAAATCTAGATGACAGTTCGAGAAGGTTCAAGAAGTCGATGATCCTGACGCCAGTTTTCGGATTCATGATAGACGTTACATGTTAATGTTATCAGTTGTATAGTTATTGTAAAAGTTGAGTTGAAATAAATTGAAATACTAAAAACCTGCGTAACAGTATTTTAAAGTGTGTAAGGTTTTAATAATCGTCAAGCGCTTTCGGCTGTTTAAACCATCATCGGAACACTATAAAAGAGAGACCACTGTGATACAATAGATAATTCAAAAAATTAAAGGTAAAAAGTTATTTACTCGTCAAAATTGTAAACACTATACAGAAGAACATCAAATTAAAAAAGGTAAAGGACAAACGACATCTAATCAGCTAACTTACAAACAAACGAAC